CAGGGGTATTATTTTCGCCATTGGTTTTTACTTTATAGAGGTGATCACAAAACAAAAATCGTAAATTAAAATATTATATTACAATTTAAAAAAAAAAACCTAAATTTGTTATTAATTACATATTATTAAAATGTCATAACCTAACTATTTTTAAGCTTTTGAAAGTGGCATAGCAGAACATTTGTATTAGTTCGGCAATAGCAGGCCAAGAAACAAGAAAATTCTCTCAAAATTGATTAATTCTATTGCCAACTCAAACAGTAATTGTTGATCACCCTGTATTTTCTTAAAATAACTAATGAATCTATAGTCTATATAGTAATTCTTGTATTTGTTTTTTATTTGTACCATAAGAAGCCAGTGTTGATTGCTAATTTCTTTCGAAACATCTAACGAAGTAGAAGAAAACTGGTCTAAAGCTATTCAGACAGAACTTCCCGCACCACTGAAGCATAGTCAAACAAATCCAATTTCTACCATAAATGATACAATTTGATTGTGCAACAGTACTTTTGAGACATCACAAGCGTTTAGCATATTTTCAGATGACGTCACCAGGTTTTCGCAAGGCATAAACAGTTAAATTTTATTTACTATGTTTACGAAAACCTTAAAACATCTGCAAGATTTCAAGGCAAAGAAAAAGACAACATTAACACAAACGGTTTACTAAGAAAGATTAATAATAATAATTTATAAAGCAAACAAAAACACAAAAAGTCCAAATTGCATAAGCGAAGAAAATGATGACATGACTCGTCTACAGAACAAAAATTACAAAACCTTTGAACCAACTTAAAACTGCAAGCCATCACGAAGGTAAGTAAAAGGCATTTTTGCAACAATCATGAGTCACCATTACTTAGTACAATTTAACAGAACAAAAAATAATTAAGCCCAAAGGTAGATTTGTCATAACCCCATTGAGTTAATCGTAAATTATCTTAAATGTCAAAGCAATAAATTGATATTTACTTATATTATAAGGGATAATGCTACTTCAAATTTTGGATTAACACAATTCACAAAATCTTTATTGCTGACTATACACAGGCATCGCAACATTTGCATATTACGATTTCACCACCGGTTGTAATTTATTTTTACGGTTCCTTAACCTTTATTGTATCATTACAATGTCATTGTCAAACAAACACCGATATTAAAACCAACCTACCATAAAAGCTTTACTACCTGAAATTAATGCAGCATACTTTTCATTATAATGAGGCACTAGTCGAGATGGAACTTTGGCAAGTAATAATTAAGATGACTAAAACCGCTGTATTCATATTTACAGTGAAAATAATAACAGCATACAGAAACGAGTACAGACAAATGAAAAAAGATATCATCCGTAATAGCTGCATAGAATTAGTCGTTACACTCCACTTACTTGTAATGTTCGTTACGTTAAAACGAAACCGAAAGTGTTAATGAGAAGCATTTAATATTCATTATCTCCAGCTCAAACGACTGCATAATGAGCACAACCACAACGCAGCATAAACGCGCTCATTATAACACAATAATTAGTAGGACCGAAATTTTGGACTCTTCATTAGCGCACAAATTACACAATTTTTAACCTAATTGGCCTAGAAATGAAAAAATGGTCAAGAAAGCTCCACGGCTGACTTCCTCCGACGAAAGTGACCCACCCGTGACCCACGTAATCGTAATTCTGGCGCTCGTAGTCGCTTTATTACCCTCGATCTATAAAAAAAATTTCGTAATTCGACCTCCTAAATCCGAAGATGTGACATTTCAGAATTCAACTCGAGCGACTGCACTTTCCCTCTCGAAGAGAAAATCCAGGGTAGAAAATCTGAGAGGTCAGTAGCAATAAATTCGATTAGAAAGAGGATGGATAAGCAATCGATTAATAAATTAACGGGAAGCTGCAAACAATAATAAATTTCTTGCGACGTCGTCTCGGCGAGAAGAAAGTTCGCAAATCTCTTAGAATAACATCTTGTGTATACGTAACCCACAAAATATACAATTGATGGTTCCCAAACGGTCATCCTTTCATAAGTCACTCGCGAGTCGTGTGTGGCAAAAAAATTAATAAAACCGAATGAGAGGCTGCAATTTTTTAAGAGAAAATTCAGGAAACGGAAACGTCGAGAGACGAGGTAATTATGGGTTTGTGGAAGCTGATGTCTGGTGTTGAGACGACGGTCATTATGTGGAATGTTTACTTTATGGAAATGTAATTTTCCACTTTTCATTGGGGTAATAAAATTGCAGTATTTGTTGGTGGTTAAAGAATAACAAATTTTATTACTTGTAAATCTAGCATTGTTTTAGAATTTTATTTTAGACAGTTGGTAGCTGCTCTGTTTGAAACAATGGGTGTTCATTATTTTATTGCTCTTAACAGATGTGCAGTCAAGGCTGCGGGCTTCACATTAATTAAAATGGGCTACTTTCAGTCAGTGGTTTCAATATGAGCATAACGTCAAATAAAATGGAACGACAAACATCAGTTTTCCAAATGATTTTATTTTTAAATTTTGCCGAAACATTTGTTACTGAATTGATAAGTGAAAGTAATTTATTGGAACATATTTTGTTTACTGACAGTGGGTTAAAAATATATGAGTAATTCCACAAATCTAGTAATTTCATGCTAATTTAAACAACGATCAAGTCTAGAAATTGTCCTCCTTAATAATTACACATTTTTCATTTACTTAAGAAATGTTTCTAAAATTTAATTTTTTGCGAAAAAAATTCCATTCTAAAAATGCAAGCACGACAATATAATTTTTTCGATATTTAGTTACTGAAGCATTTTGTGCCTTTTTTGTGTCAACTGCTCAACTCATAAGCCATCTGGCCGTTTCCTATGAACAAGTGCACTCCAGACTAAATATAAACAAGTGTGTTTTAGTAACATGATATGTTCGAATCATAGACAGTGGCAGAGTACGGATGATGAAAGTATATGATACGTTAATGAATTCATAAAAACAAGCGCTACAAGAATTCCAAAAAAATATTTAGTGTCATTAAAAAAGTTGAATGTCATAATATTATATTAATTGCCCTAAAACTTTTATTTTAGTAGATGATAATTTTGAGTGTAACTATTACTTCTAATTGCTAAAAATCTTTTCTCAAAATAGTCTTATATTTTACGTAAATTATACTAAGCGTAATCCTGTCAGTAAATCAAATTAATTATTGTTTCAATCACTGGCATTTACACTCAGTGTGAAAGCTGCTTCTGGATATACCGTCTGATATTAAAAGAATGAATTATATTTTCACCACTCTAAATAGTGGTTATAAACTAAATTTTTGACACTTCTGAGCATTAAATATGCATTTATTATTAAGTGCATATCAGATTTCGCTATAGTAATAAAGTTAAGCAATTCTCTAGTTTGCAGACTATTTAAATTTTTATTCACTTCCGCCGCACCTATACAAGAACAGATAATCTACCAATTACTGTACCAAGTAGAAGCTAGTAATCGCGTTCTGGGATTTTATTAGTAATATGTAAAATGTTACTTCTGGACCAAGTTATTGGCATCATAAAGAACAGAGCAGAATCCTAAAAATTTACCTGTTTTCCCAAAAGTAAAGAACCGAAAAAGACCTAAAATTCTTCAAAAAGCACTAATGCACTCCAAAAATACCCAAATATCTGTAGACCACCAAAAATGGGGTACTCGAAAAAACCGGTAAAAATTACTCACATTATACAAGATTCCTTCAAGAGCACCCTAAAAAAACTTACAAAATACCTTGTTTTTAAACACCCCAAAATAGCTTCTTATTTCTGGCGCATGCAAAAAAAACGAAAAAGCGACACCAAATCAAGAAGGGATGGTACCAGGATATTTGGCACTTTAAAAAGAGGACTGAACCCTAAAAATTTAGCTGTTTCTCCGAAGGTAAACAATCAAAGATGACCTAAATCCTTCAAAAAGCACTAATTTTTATGTACTCAAAAAGTAGCCAACTACCACCAAAAATTGGGCACACTAAAAGCACCCAAAAAACATTATAAAATGTTTTTAAAAACCCCAGAATGGATTTTCATTTCTGGACTAAAAATTATTGAAAAAGAGCCAAAAGTCTTATTCAAATTTCTCAGGTTTCCGACACTTCAAAATGGTTTTTTTATTTCTGGACCAGGATGTTAGGGTACTTAAAAAAATTAATAAAATCCTGGAAATTAGTTCCAATTAGTTATTAAAATATTTGAAAACTAGGGCTCTGAAACCACCATAAGTACCGTCTTGGGTTTTCTACCTGTCGGCGTATCGGTTTTTGAATCGCCGCCCCCCAACGAAAAATCGTACCACCGTCATCGGTCTTTTTTTGTCGTCACCGCCACAAGTCGAAACCGTCGTGTACCGCCACCGCGCTCTTCTCCCGGGTCGCCGTACCGTCTTCACGCGATTTCCAGATTCAAGGTCGCCGCCCCCAAGTCCAGTAGGAGCCGTCCTGAAGGAAGTCGCCGTCCAGGAGGGAACGACCGTGCCGGACGTGTTATTATTTTTCTTGTTTTGTTTTGCACTGTAGTTAATTAAAACTTAGCCGTAAGATTTGTTATTTTAGCCGTGTAGCTGGTGGCAGGGAATAAACCCTATTTATTGTGTAAAATATTACTTGCCGTTTTATTTTATTCTCAGGTTTTCACGGGCGCTCGCCACCTGAGAACCGTGTCTCCGGCTTGAGAGCAATCCCGGCGCTCTCTCCCCCGGAGAGGGATCTGGCGCCCGAGCGAAGGCGCCACCCCCGGCGGCGTGAAGGTCGCCGCATAAGCTTAGGTCAGCCAGACGTGTTTGTTATATCAGCGACATTAGTCGGCCCAGGTACGCCGCCACCTCACGTTATCGGCGAGATTCCAGACCGTCCGTCACACCGGAATTTTGTCGCAATCTATCGAGGAAAATGAGCTGCACGACCATGAATCCTGAATTAACAAAACAGGCCATTATTATTAGATATTACTGTAAGATTGGACATCATTACTCTCAGACCCATCGGTTGTCGATAATTGGAACGTCTTCAAAAATACTCTTCAAAACGTAGTCGGACCACATCAACCTCGTCACTGTGAAACAGTCGTACAAAAAGCCTTGGATCACTAGCCAGATTTTTACTTCCCAAGCGTAAGCTAAGGAAGTATTGTAATCGAGTCCGTCGGCCGACTCTCTACTTTTACGTTTTCTCGATCGAAGACGAAAAAATAGGTCTCCCATTTCCATCTGTCTGTCCGTCTGTCCGTCTGTCCGTCTGTCTGCCGTCCCGGATTTTTATTGGACAGCTAATCTCCGAAAGTACTGGACCGATTGTTGTGAAATTTTGTACTTATATTAGGAATATCATGTAGATGGTAAAACGCTAACCAAAATTTGTCTAATCATCCCCACCACTAATGCGATGACGTCACTTCAAAATTGTATATAGTAAATGGATTTTAAATTGCTAACCCGAATGTTTTGAAATGTTGCAGATGTTTTAAGGCTATAAACAACATCATAAATCTTTAGTCAAAATATATTTGGTTATCCCCTCCAAAAACTTGATGACGTCAGCTCAAAAGTTTGCCGAATAAATCCTATCAAATGTACAAAATATGATGAGTCTGTACTTGTGATACTCCATTCATATTTTTTGGATTTGCATATACAGGGTGACTCAAAAAAATTAATGAATGCGTGAATTTATTTTATTGAGTTAATCAGGAACTACAAAACCGAATGCTTTGAAATCTTGCAGATGTTTTAAGGTTATAAAGAGCATAATAAATGTTTAGTCAAAATATATTTGCTTATCCCCTCCAAAAAATTGATGACGTCAGCTCGAAAGTTTGCCGAATAAATCCTATTTAAACTGTACAAAATACGATGAGTCTGTACTTGTGATCTTTCACTCCATTCATATTTTCTGGATTTGTATATACAGGGTGACTCAAAAAAATTAATAAATGCGTAAATTTATTTTATTGATTTACTCAGGAACCACAAAACCGAGTGCTTTGAAATCTTGAGAATGTTAAGTTATCATAAGTATGGTATGTTTTTGATCAAAATGTATTTGCTTATCCCCCCTAAGAAATTGATGACGTCACCCCGAAATTTTGCTGAATAAATCCTATCTAAAATGTCCAAAATATGATGAGTCTCTTCTTGTGATTTATCATTCCATTCATATTTTTAGGATATTTTTAGGATTTGCATATACAGAGTGACCCAAAAGAATTAATAAATGTGTAAATGTATTTTATTGATTTAATCAGGAACTACAGAACCGAATGTTTTGAAATTTTTCAGATGTTTTAAGGTTATAAAGAGCATAATAAATTTTTAGTCAAAATATATTTGGTTATCTTCTCTAAAAAACTGATGACGTCAGCTCAAAAGTTTGCCGAATAAATCCTATCTAGAATATACAAAATATGATGAGTCTATACTTGTAATTTATCATTCCATTCATATTTTTTGAATCTGCATATACCGGCCCAAGCAGCAGACTGTCGTCTAATTAAAAATCAAACGAACTTACCTTAAGTGAAGTTCGATTGTAATTATATAAGAGTCTCGTTCGAGATGATTACATCGTAGTACCGCTACTTTGACTAGATCCAACCACAAGCTTTAGAGAATAAATTTAAAATTTCGGCTTCCCGCCGCCTGCTCCTACGCCGCACCCTAGCGGCTAATCGTCATACAGTTTAAAGCTCATTCCAAAATTATGGAATTAAGCTGTAACCAAACTCTCCACTTTAGGGGTGGGGAAAAAATTTTTCAGGATAAAAGTTTTTGGGAGGGCTGTAATCATCTCGAACGAGACTCTTATATAATTACAATCGAACTTCACTTAAGGTAAGTTCGTTTGATTTTTAATTATATTACGAGTCTCGTTCTTCGAGATTACATCGTAGATGTTTAGAGCAAACCAACTTAGTCCTTATTCCTTAATACCTGTTACAGAGCTTAATGCCATAATCATTATTCAAGCTTAGACTTATTTTAGACTTATTCACCCTGCTGATTGAATAACACCTCTACAAACGATTCTTTTCTTGGTTCTATCGGGCGTTTGTAGAACTTTGCGAACACCTGTGAGCTGGCTGACCATCCAGCTGTACTCTTTTTGATGTTTACGTCTAAACCTCTCGCCTCTGCAGCAGACGTGGCTGCGTGTCTCGTGCTGTGAGCAGTGTATCTGGGATGTATTCCGGCTTCCACGAGACAGTACCTTATCCAGCGGCTTATTGATTGCGCAGTTGCCCTATGGTAGGGCCTCTTAAATGTAATAAACAGGTAGTCTTCATTCCCGCCTAGAACTTTGGTTCTTTTTACGTATTTCAACAACACCGTGGCGACGCAAGCGCCCCTTCCGCTCTTTAAAAAATGGTAGACTGAACGAGGGTTGTGCAACTCCGACTCTAGCTGTTTTAATTTGCTCCGATATCTTTATGATCACCTTGCTCTTCGAAACTGTCCTGTCACTTATTTTGATTAGGGACAATGTCTGAACCCTATGGGCTGTAGCTAAGGCTAGTAAAGATACCAACTTAAAGGTGAGAGATTTTAGGTCCAGGACTTTCAGCGGTCCCAGTGCTTCTGCCCAGTTTTGAACTGCCTTTGTGTTCCAGGTGGTGTCATATTTAGGCTTCGGTGGTCTGTTTTTAAAGACTCCTTTAAAAAAAACGACTAATTTCAGGATCACTACCCAAGTCTATCGTGCTTATCAGATTAATCGCTGATCTCTCTGAATTAAGTGTGCCGTATGATGCCTCCTGATTGAATCGAAATGTTAAGTATTTTAAAACTAGGTAAATATCTGGCTGTAGGGGGTCTCTCTTTTCACTCTGGGAGTAACTCCACCAGTTTTTAAGGGCTGTGTTGTATTGTTTCAGAGTAGAATCCGTTAGTGAAGAGATTAGAATCTCTACAGCTTCTGCTGGCACTAGTTTCTGTTGATACGATCGCCGGAGAGCCTCCCTGCAACCAGGGAAAGATGATCCGCTAACGGGTGAATTAAAGACCTGCAAGGAGATAACCGAAGCTTAGGTGATGGCGAAAAATACAACGGTTCTCCTAATAGCATTGATTTAAATAAGGGAAACCAAGGCTGGGTAGGCCAGTGAGGGACCACCACTATTCCCTGAGCCTTATCTGAATTGATTTTTTGTAGCACCTTAGCAACCATCGCGAAGGGAGGGAATGCATAAAAAAGGTATTTACTCCAATTAACTGTAAAAGCGTCAATGTAACGAGCTTCTGGGTCTCGTTTCCAGGAGCAGAACACCTCGGTCTTAGCACTACTCCCTGATGCGAACAAGTCTATTTCTGGAAACCCCCACCTATCTACTATGGTCTGAAAGAAGGGGGCTCCTAACTCCCATTCAGTATCTACATTGACTCTTCTAGATTCCCTGACTGCGTCTGTGTTTTCCCGCGAGGGGATGTAGGAAACAAAGATCCAGATTCTTCTTTTCTCACACCAAGTCCAAATATGTTTAGCCCTTGATTAAGTTCTACGTATTGTACACCCCCCATACGATTGATATACGAAATCGCCGTGGTATTGTCAATTCTAAGTAAGATTTCGCAATTTTGGACTTCCCTAGCAAAGCACTTAAGCGCCAAAAACGCTGCTATAATCTCCAGCTGGTTTATATGTAACCTCTTCTCCTCCTGAGACCAAAATCCGTGAGTATTTTCTCCGTTGCAGTGCGCACCCCACCCTGTGAGCGATGCATCCGAGAAAATCTCTAACCTATAAGAGTTTTTCTCGTGACTGCTACATTTTTCTTGCACACGGCCCGAGATTTGCCGATGCAAAGTGTATCATCTATGTCGCTGTCGATAACCATCCCCTTTCTCTAAGAAAGTTCAGGACTGGCTTTAGTAACTTTGTAAATACATACGGACTTGTACAAAGTCCAAAGGGCAAGCATTGAAATTCAAATATTTGACCCTTGAATTTAAATCTTAAAAATTTACGACTACCCGGACCAATTTTTACCAAGAAATATGCATCTTTCAAGTCTAAAATACATAGAAAATAACACAGGCCTGCGAAATATAACTTTTAATTTCCCTTTTAAATAATATTGTTTTTTTTTTAGGTATTTATGTATGCCGAATTAAAATATAACTCTAGTTTTTTTGTAGCACATCGAGATTTATTCTTATGTAGGCCTAAAGATTCATAGTTTTTCAAACAATTTTTATGAAAAAATAAAATATAAAAAATATAAAATTGAATATTTATTTATTAAATGAACTAAATTAGTTATAAACAAGACTTAAAAAAACAAATAAATCAAGAAGCTTCTTTTTTTCTTTCTTCAAAGCTCTGATTTAAGCATTTTCTCTTGTATTCACGATAGGATATGTTATTGCTGTTACATTTTTCGCATTATATCTTTTTATATTTGAACAGCAAAAGTAACAATCGTCTGTATGATTTTGTGGCTCCATCCAAATCATTGGTGTCAGCAAACTTAAAGATTTTTTTTTTCCTTTTGACCATTTGCGAGGTGCATGAACACATTTTATGAGGCACCCATTTTTTGTCTTGGTTTTTTATATTAACTTTAAAATAACTTTCGCATAGTTGTTCGATAAATTCAGAAATTATTAGTTGTTGTTTTTTGATTAAATAACTTCTACAAATGTAACAGAAGTTATGTGAAGAATTAACCCATTTCCGAGAGGACATTAGTAATTTTTGTTTAAATTCAGAGTAGTAAGCGCATAGTCGACACAAATAAGTCTTACTAAGCTAAACAGCAAATGAAATATCAACACCATTATCCATACATATTATTACCACAAAATCTAGAAGTTAATTTTTATGGTACTAAGAACAAAATTGAAAAAAATATTTTTTGCAGAAACTGTACGTGATAGAAATTTTTGCAATTTTTTTTTATACATGAGTATCTAAGGCCTACCGAAATTACTACTTGATTTTGTTGGGGGAAAACCATCGCAGGCCTGTGTAATTTTTATAAATTAATTTCAAGGCTACTCTCATATCCTCGATCTTAAAATGACTGGTCTTTATAAATTGATTTAAGCATTTAAGGTTTAGTATGAATCTCTTAGAGCCATCTGGCTTTGGCACTAGAAAAAACGGTGATAAAAATTGGCCTTCTACAGCTTTGCATCTGATTATTGCCCCCCCATAACTACCCGTTTTGTTATTTCGTATTCTAACAGTTTTTCGTCTTCTGCCGAAAAATGCAATTCTTTATTAAAGCTCAGGGACCCTTTGCTGACCGGCTGAGATGGGGGGAATTTCGTCTGATACTGTTTTAGGCCCTGATACGAGTTCCCCTGTCTCGCATACGGGCCCCGCCAGTTTAAAGTGCGTCTAGGGGCTGGCTTGCTTGGTTTCTTGCTAGTACCAGAGGTCGATGGAAGAGGAGAGGCTTTAATCTCTTTGCCGATCTTCTCCATTGACTATGCATTTTTTATCTTTTCCGTTAGCTTCTCTCCAAACAACAGAGACCCAGGCTTGGTCGTCTGTAACAGATTTTTCATTGACTTGGTCAATATTGGAGAGATAAACGCTCTTCTAGCTGAAGAGACCTGGAAATGTAGCTGCGTAATTAGTTTTACTGCGTCCGCTAATTTTTCTAGTAACTCCAGACGATCTAGGGGTTTTTCCTCATCTTTTAAAATCATCGTGATGCCTTGTCCTAATGCTGATAAGGCTGAACCAGCTAAGTTCTATTCATGGATAAATAGCTGATCCCTCTTGGCACCCGTTTCGTTCAGAGTAGCTGCTATTTCTTCATTTAATTCTGGGGCCTCGAGAGAAATATTCCCCTTTCGAGGATATTTGTCCACTACTTGGACTTTAATCTCTTTCGGCAATCCGTCAGACAGCCAAGATGCCCAACGCGACACCAAGCTCTCATGCAGCTCTACTTGATCTTATTTCTTAGCCCCTGGATCATCTCCTAGAAGCAGTTCCACCTCGTTATCTGGCTTCTTAGACTCAGCTGCCTCAGTAGACTGGGCATCATCCTTTACTACTAGGCCCTCTTCCTCAGCCTGCATCTGCGCGATCTCCTCGAGGATCTTGTCTGAGTCTGAGGTACACCTGACTGACTCTCTGAACCCGGGATCCCCAACTAGAGGATTGACGGATTCATTTTCTTTACCAGGGTCAACCTGATTTCCATCTGCAAGGAAAAATAATTACTTAATTTTTCCCCTAATGCCAGATGAAAATTTTATGCACTGGTTGTTATTGCCTCCTACGTGCAAAATTCATCAGCCTGGACCCCCTCAATGTCTCAAATAATTAATTAATTTTTCTCCTAATGCCAGATGAAAATTTTATGCACTGGTTGTTATTGCCTCCTACATGCAAAATTCACCAGCCTGGACGCCCGGCAAGGTCTCAAATAACTCATTAATTTTTCCCCAAATGGCAGCTGAAAATTTTATGCACTGGTTGTTATTGCCTCCTACGTGCAAAATTCACCAGCCTGGACCCCCTCAAGGTCTCAAATAATTAATTAATTTTTCTCCTAATGCCAGATGAAAATTTTATGCACTGGTTGTTATTGCCTCCTACGTGCAAAATTCACCAGCCTGGACGCCCGTCAAGGTCTCAAATAATTCATTAATTTTTCCCCTAATTAGTTTTTCCCCCTGATCTACTGTCATTTTCGTCCGAAAGACAATAAAGGACAATAATTCTTGAATAAACAATTAATTTCTTGATAGAATTAAATCCTCAAACATGTGGTTTATTCTAGCACAAAAAACGTTATGACGATTAGCCGCTAGGGTGCGGCGTAGGAGCAGGCGGCGGGAAGCCGAAATTTTAAATTTATTCTCTAAAGCTTGTGGTTGGATCTAGTCAAAGTAGCGGTACTACGATGTAATCTCGAAGAACGAGACTCGTAATATAATTCACGTCAATTTTTGGTCATAACCTTAGATCATATAATAAGTAGATACCAATACTCAAACTGAAAGCTGTGACTAGACATGAAGTTATCTGTTGTCGTTTTCTACGTCAAGGGGAGTAGTATAATGCTATCCTTGTGTGATCACCACATCTTCATCTTTGTTATATGCATTTCATCTGTATATGTCTATTTCACTTCCATCCTTGTACCGCACCAGCGCAACAAATCGCTTTTGACAGATGTTTCTTCTAACCTCTCTTTCGAGTTGTTGTACAAAAAACAATTTTAGAATTTAGAACAAAGATCCTATTTTAAGTGATGTAGTCATAAAGGATCACAATTGCTGCCCAATAATTTACTATTCCTTTCATTATCTACTGTGAATTATTTATAAAATCAAGCTGTCAACATCTTTCTTCCGAAGTTAGTTCAGACATACTTCCTAAAATTTAGGCGCGCAAAATTCAAATAGTGATCAGGCAAGGATAGCTTCATTGTAATCCCTCCATGCACGAGAGAGATGCGTGACAGGAGGATGTCGTCACAGGCTGTCCTAGGGAAAGAACACGGCATGGTGGTATCTATTTATTATATGATCTAAGGTCATAACTCGTCGGCGACGTCATTCGCCCAAAAAATCACGTGAAAATGACGAGATTTTTATGACTTACTTCTGACGTCAATTAATGACGTCAAAAGGCCGTCCTTTCTTCGTCATTTTTTATAGATTATATGATCAATTAGATGTGGGTCGTCGTATTCTTTAAAAAGTGGCCTTCATAATGTTTGATTACATTTAGAGCAAAAAATACAACGGCTTAATTAGAAATACACCAAAGACAAGTTTTTTCATTGTAATAATTTCTAATAAAATAATTATTTCTGAAAACTTGTTTACTCTGGAAGTGTTATTTTGTAAGTACCTGCCTACCTGCTTGGCAAATTATAAATAGAACATCTGGGGTTGAGCGAAAAGACCCAACGACACAAACAAAGTCATAAAAATTCTTTGTCCATTGTCCCTAAAACGGAACAAGGTTTTGAAGAATTCCTTCGTCGAATTTTGATTTTATAAAGACGTTTATAAAGTGATGACGGTTACCAAAAAAATTCGAGAGTGATTAATATTCAGTTTTATTAAATTTATCCTTATCCGTATTTACTATACAATACATCAGATGTTTGGGGTGTGATTCGGACTTTCCCTTTTTTCGGGATTTATGTTTATTGCACTTCACAGAGAAGCATTCCAATATTTCCAGTTGGTTCTCAACCACCGAAACTTTCTCGTGTATCCGTTACTCACTTCAATTTTAGCGCAGTTTTGTGCAAACTAATTTCTACGTGACAGTCTTTGGATGTATCAACATAAATAAACACTTGAGCGTCGGATTGCTATTACCTAGCACCTGGAGTGGAAGGACGACAAGGGTTTTTAGAAATGGATTATTTAAGTTCAACATGGTGAATCATCAGATTCCGACAACAGACTGTCAGTCAGTAGCGTAACATGCAGACTTCAGAAGGGGGTGGTTTTTAAATTTATTTTTTTAGCTCGCAAACAATAACACGCGGAGATATAAACTTAAGTGAACTGGTCAACACGCTAGCACGAATGCGCATGAATCTATTAGGCACTAATCTAAATACGTACAGGTACCCATCGCAGGTAGAAAAGTTCACTATGACAGAGAAACGATGACAACTTTTTTTAGGGTCCTCTTGAAGTAATCTTGCATGATTTTCGGTGATTTTCAACGGTTTTTTCGTGTGCCCAATTTTTGGTGGTCTACAGATATTTAAGTACTTTTGTAGTGCATCAAAATTAGTGCTTTTTGAAGGATGTTAGGCCTTTATCGGTTGTTTATTTTCAGGAAAACAGCTAAATTTTTAGGGTTCTGCTCCGTTTTCTATGATGCCAAATACCCTGGTCTAGAAGTAACATTTTTTATACTACTTTTATTACCTATGTGTAATCAAAATTTTATTATGTAGACTTATGAAACTATGATTCTATTTCTTAATGGTTTCATAAATTTATCTGTTCACCTTTTAATTTTCTACCCACCATTGTTTATTTTTCCAATAATTTTATTTTGACCATAACTTTTACTTGTATGTTTCTATTCAGTGACTACAACGAGAGAATAAAGCTAAATAAATTTCTTCAAGAAAACTCATGTTTAGCTGATATGAAGTCTAATTTAATCACATGTAAAGTTTTCAATTCTAGATTTTATTTTGTCTGTGTTGTAAATGCTGTAAAAAGCTGGTTTATGTCTAATTTAAACGCGCAACACTTCGGGAATTCAGCACTACGGTATATTTTAGATTATACGCCTAACGAACGAAACCGCTTGGTCATTCCATGGTAGAAAACATAGATTAATTTTTCTGTGAGAAATTGTACTAGTACGACCCTTAGATATTTTCTCACGAGATTCTTCTTTGACGTTACTGATGTTTGTGAATTTTGTTGTGCAGTCATAATTATAGAAAAAGTGCAGTCAACTGTGTCAATTTAATTAAGTTGTGTAAAAGAACCAGATTTACAAGAGACTAATAAGTGGCCGAGGCAGAACTCTATTATATAATTAGTATTTACGTTTCATGTGATTAGACAGAAAACACAGTTGCCCTTTTACATTATGCTAATAGATTCATAATGTATCGTCGTAACACTTAACGCCGCTGCTGGGTAATAATAATTGATACTTTAATATACACAGATTGTAATCTTAAATCAAACATAATAGAAAAAAAATCATATATCTCGTTTAAATGGAGAACAAAACTTCAATAAATGACTTTTTTTTCTCACATTAAGTTAACTGATTAATTTTAGTTGCATACACCGCCCGTTATACAACTCGTCTTCCCATTGTTCTAATTTTCCCATCATTTTAAAGCATTAAATATCACACCTTAATTTTTTGTCTAAAAAAATCTATTTAATCTGATTTTGTTATCTAGGTACTATTCGCTTTATAAAAATGCTGCAGTTTTTATGTGATATTTGCTTACTAATATTAACATCTTAGTTGAGTAGCTAAGTTTAAATCTAATACAATTTCTACGTTTTTTTAGGTATAACGAAATAGGTATATTTTCTTGACAAAAATGCAAATTTGTAGTTCTTGTAGAAAATTTTTCCCGTACCTAATTTGTTTGTCAATATCATTTCGTATTAAGATAATTTCTAAATTTATACTGAATAAGAAACATTCATGAGGCCAATATTTTTTTCAGTTCCATCTGTTCCGAGTGTTCGAAGATTTCAACATTTTGTGGGTCGAAATGTTCCAGAATTTTTAACGACCAATAAAACCGTACCGGGGTAAAAATCATTCGCATTAATTTTCAGTTTAATATGTGAATATTACGATAAACTTTACAATGTTGTGATGATACGTCACTATAAAACATAACACATCTGAAAGGAATAAATGACCCACGGCTCTTTGGTAGCCAGCAGAATGGCCAATTATAAAACTAGGGCAACCAGTTTTAACACATCAACTTCGAAAGGTTATATGCTTGTAAACGTATATTCTCGCCTTTTATTCGCATGCTACAATTGTGTGGTGCTTTGAAAGAGGAGAATGTTTTGTTTTATTTGTTTGTTAGGTAGGTATATGTTATGAGATTATTCTTAAAGATCACTTGAAGATCTACAACTCTATTAAATTTTATGAACTCAATTCGTTACTGCAAGTAATGCTTAGTTATGCCAGGAGAAACTATGGTCAGTTGTTGTTAACAATTATTTTTATGTGGCAAACTCTACAATGACCCTTTTATGTTTTTACCACCTACAAATAAGTTATAGTTAATAAAGTTTGTAACATGTATATTAATGTCAAAAAGTACGGAATGAATTAAATTTAATATTTCATTCAGAATTCAGCTATCTTCGGACTGGTTGGACCCATGTGACAACGCCCGTGTAAACGGTAGCAAATTAGAAATTAAACTCTACACAAATTTCACCGTGTAAACGTGGCACGTATAAATTTTCATAAACGTCTACTTTAATTTTTGTACGTAATATTAAACAAACCTGTTTGTTTGTTTTTTCTTTTTTATCAAACAGTTGCACTCTAAACATTGCAGAAACTTACACAACAACGCAAATACACCTAATTCGATTTTAGTGTCGAACATACATACAAATTAGTGTCGAAACATTTAGTTTTTATCTTATTATCATACAAAGACGACGTGAGATTCCATCCTGGGAAAAGAAAAGTTCGTCATTGTACTTTTCACAGTCAATTTAGAAACGATCGTAGAGAAATTGGTTACTTAAATTTCCATCTGATTACTAACCACAATGTACCCATTCAAATTTTCGGTACTATACGAATCTAATCAGATTTCCTAGCTAAGGAGTCAAAAGTCTGTAACCTTTGCCCCTTAAAATTTTATAGTAAGAGAAAGTCATGAATCAAACTAAACATTATAATTTCCACGCGCACACGACCACACGTATAGAAAATATAAATAATTAAAACACATAATAAACGCTTTATTTATATATAAAAAATTAATTAAATTAACCAGTTTTCTCCTTATATGAAATCACTCCTTTTGCTATTAGGTCTGGAATTTCCACAGCCAGCCACGGCCCCAACTAAAATAACATGTTAAAATACTGCGGATTATATGTTTTTTTAAAGTACCCCTAACGCCATTGCGTGACCTATCCCAAACTTGGGTACATTCCGAGCCCATAATGGTTTAAAATGGTCACTCAAACAAACCTTCCCTCCTCTGTACATCTTCGCGGTTTTCCCATCCAGTTCCGGGAGAGCGATCTCGGGCGCTGTCGTGGGGTACATAACTGGAATCTACAACCAAACCACGTCTACATATCTCAATTCAACTGAATATGAACCACTCACGTCGAACTCCACATCGAATTCATATTTAAGCAAGTCATGTATAAACCAACACTTGCCAAACCATTTGGTTCCTTCCTTATTAGATTCTAAGCGAAACCAGTCGTTGTCAGCTTCTTTGTTGTTTTGAACATACTGTAAACATATGTCGAGAAAGTGAGGTTATGTAAAATGTCAAAAGGCTCACTTTGATTAAAGACTGGTACTCCTCCTTGAGCCTTTGCACCCATAATTCCTTATCCCTTGGCCCTGCCTTCGTTTTCAGCAAAGGAATGCTGCTCAAAGTTTTCCTAGTGCTTTCGTCTACCATTACTACAGCTAACTTCGTACGGGTGACTTTTAGTGACGTTTAGTGACGTTCGACCCGTTCGGTTGGCAACGTATGGTTTGATAAAAGTGACGCAAACTTCAAAGCAGTGAATTTTTGTAAAAGCATAATGTTTGAAAATTTCCAAAAATCAAATGGCTGATACGTTTTTTGGTTTTGATACGGCGTTAGATGTGAGTATTTGGGGCTAAAAAACGCTTTAAAAAAATTCCCGGCCGCTATAGTGGCCGATAAGCTAGTGTGACACATTCGCGATTTGTGGGGTTTTCGGGGGTTATAACCCCACGAATCGCAGTTCTAAGGGTGTGTGTGACCTTTTGGAGGTCGTTTTGTTGGCACAAGGGCGCTAGAGTCGCCCCTACGCTCATAACAAATAAACCAAAAAGTGAGGTTATGTTTTAGTTTTTGCGCAATAATTGCGAGAAGTTTTTGATAAGTATTTTTGCGGTAGAACGGGGATCACTTGCTGCCGCCAGATGAGGACGATTGCGTAGAGAACGAAGAAGAGGAATATGACGCCCTCAACGATGAGACTTTTGGAGGTCTGGAAGACAGCTCGGTTCTCGATGACTGGGAGCAACAACACGAGCAGTACGCCGAATTCGCTGAAAGCAATAAGCATTCGGAGCAGATCGAGAACTCGATTTCGCTCTTAATGCTCGACGAGCCAGTTAATGAACCAACCAATTTATCAAAAAATTCGATTTGGTCGTATACTCCACCAAACAAAAATGGCGATATTTTTAACTCGTCGATCATCTCGTCGCTGCACAAGGCGTCGAAGTCTTTCGTAGGTAGTGTTGGTTGTAAGGTGCATGTTGTTATGTTGATTTTGTAGATTGAGACGCGCTCGGACTCCAATCGTGTTAGCGAAGCACACAAGAACTTCACGCAGTCGACGCCGCTTCCGTCGATACCTATATCACCAATCCAGCATGTACCCAAGCAAATACGTACTGTAGAAGAACTGGAGAAAAATTTAATTAAGAACTCGAAACAGCAGCCTGTACAAAAACCAGCAGTTCCTTTTCCTCATCCTATGTTCCAGCACCCTTTGCAGAATCCTAGGTTACCGCCCGGTTTGCCTCCTTTAGGAATCCCTCCGCCTGTACGGCATATGCCTTTACCTCATCACCCGATTCCTCCAGGATTAGTACATATGTTACAGCCCCATTTTATGCACCAAGGGGGCCCTCCGAGACACTTACTGTATCCTCCAGGCAATGCTCAATTCCCAGTGACGCATCCATACAATTTTCCTCCTCCTCCTCCGAGAAATATTATTCCTCCGAATACGAACCACATGAACAGAAATAATATGCCGCAGAGGACGAGGAACGATAGTTATAAGCATAAGGAGAATCATGAGACTAAGGACGAGTATGCTGGGTTGATGACAAACAGAGAGAAACAGTGGCTGCTGAACATACAAATGTTGCAGTTAAATACGGGAACCCCGTATTTCGATGATTACTACTACACGGTTTTTAAAGAACGTAAAGCGAAGAATAACAAAGAGAATTTCCCCAATGAGAGGAATCATAGATATCAAAACAATCGGCAGCAGAGAAATAATGATAGACAGGACAACAACAATACTTTAACGCCTCGTGTGTATACACCTCTGCAGTTTGAAAACTCGTTAGGAAAACTACAGGTATGTGTTCTCGCTACTGGCTGTTCAGATACATTTTATTTATATGCACAAGAATACACATAATCTGCGTACAAAATTTTGCAGTTTCATAAATGAAACAAATTTTATATATTGGAAACATTTTTTTACATTATTGATTAAATCGTTACCTATTGGAAATCGATTTCCAGGGTCCTTGGCTACTTGGTGTAAACAAGTAGTGTACCACATTGATTATACTTTTTTTTTGTTATTTCAAGTTTGAACATTTATAGACGGTTTTAAAATAGTGCTGGCTGTAAAAAAACACTGAAATAAAGACGGAACTGTGCATTTTTTCACGTACGAAAAAATAGATCTCCTGTTATACTTTTGGCTCATGAATCCGCCTTGATCACAGTTAGTTTACAAAAATGTTTGTGCAGTATTATTTTTCACGTAGGTAACCAAGACACGTAAGAGTAAAGTACATTTTTAAAATAAATAATTTTATAAGAAATTTCAATCCTCTCTGTAACTAAATGCTAAATCGAGTAACAATAATTAAAGACACACAAGTTAATATTTTATCACATGTCTAGAAAGGTTAATTTGCTATTTTACATTATTTGCTAGTTATTTTAAATACTAGGTGATTAAAATAATTCTAATAAGAATATTACATATTATAAAATTTCATCATCTTTCTATAAATAAAGTGATTAAATGCTGAAATAAATTAATTTCATAGTGTTAATAAAAGTCAGCTACGCATCTGCATACAAACAGACAAACAAACAAGAAATTAATATTCTATTAGTGTACATGACCTGTTCAGAATCTTAGTTAATTTTACTAATTTACTATGTACGTCATAAAGCTTCAAGTGACGATTTCTAATTTTTGTAGACCGTCTTTTGTATTAGGGGCTTAGATGCTTAAATTTTTAAGTTATAGAAAAAGCTCTCTGCAAATTGAACCACCTGTTCTGATGGTGTGATAAATCGTTTACATAAGTTACAAAATGTAGTTGTCTAAGAATGGACCCTTGCAGAATCCCCACGTAAAAGTAGTTTTAATACTCTGTACAGATTGAGTAAATCCTGCAACTGTTTCTTTGTATTGGTTATGTTATCAGGCAAATGCGGAGTCAAAGTAGTAATAAAAATTGTTTTTCTCTGTAAAGTTTTCTCGGAGTTTATTGATAACTGGAAAAATACATAACTGTGCTTGTTGATTCAAATCTAGAGAATTTCTTATCAATGCAGGTGGTAGATTGATTATTCGTTTATCTCGTTGCCTATTGAATATAAGAGTATCCCATCATTTGAAAATATATAAGTTGGAACTTTGTAAAGATTAATTAATGCAAGGAAATCTTTAAAATGAATATATGTTTTATTTTTGTTTTCAAATTGGGTGAATTTTTTTTATTTTCTCAGTCATTTTAAAGTATTTTGGTGGACAAAATTTGTGTTAAGTCGGTGATAAAATAATATTTTTAATAAGATTCTCTACAAATTTGGCCGATACTGCAGCCAATACTGCCGTTAACACCGTGGTAGTTAATAATATTAATTGTTGAAGAACTAATAAAATTAAAAAATTAGCAATACTTTTTTAAGTGAAAAAATACACAAAATTGACGCCATATCAAAAGCATTCGTCTAAAATTTAAATTTGCTACAATTATTATCATCAACTAAAGACTGAATACCACTCTATTCACTCTAAAACAGTGAAAACACTTGATTTTTACACGTATTGTGAAGGCAAGATAACTGAAAATCTCGTAAAAAATCCAGACCGCCATCTTTAAACATGGCGTAAAGGACGGAATCTTTAAATATGGCATTTTTTTTTTTACATAAAATTGAAAATACGCTTGTATCACATAATTCTTTTTTTTTCTTTTTGGTAAAGAATCTAAATCTTTGCCATATATAGGGTGTTTAAAAAAAAACAAATCTTAACTTTTCACCAGTTTGTGTATGTGTGTGTTTATAGTCCAGAAAATTAAGATCAATTTGTAAATCTTTATTACAATATTAAAATAAAATTTTATTGTGCAGTGCCTTCGAAAAATTTTATAGCAGTATGTAGCTGTATTTTATATCAAGAAATGCCAATGTCAGTTTGTTGTCAGCAAACGTTGATTTTTCCATTATTTTTTTAGTAAACGCTATTTAAATTTTATAAAATTACATGCTCCTATACGTGTGGTTTATGAATCCGTCATGATTTTTTATCCTAGTCAACCAAATTTTCACAAAATAAGGCCCAAATTACATCGTCACATTTTATACCAGTATAAGAGGACCGATATGTGGAGAACTCCGTAATCGTGGTGTCAAAATGTTGAATTATTAACACGAAGGTCGATTTATGGGTCACAATTTTTTTTTTTGTTTATTAAATCATAAACGATTCACCTCATTTTCTCGAAAATTTGAGAATACAGTACGTCTATATTTTATAATAATAAAATAAGAATTATCATAACAACGCCTTATCCAAAATAATATTCAGATTTTTCCGTTGTGGCTTCCGTTTTGAGGAGACAAAATCATACAACTCAGACAACTTGCTACGTACTTAATTGTAGCATTCTTTTGATATATAAATATAAACAATGGAAGTTAAGCATATACTGATAATTAGGGATGTACCGACTAGTGGCCGACCGGTCGGATAAGCCGACTATTCGGCCATTTTTCATCGTCGGCTACAGTCGGCGACTAGTCGGCTAAACAGCCGATCGGTCGGCTTTTTTTATTAAAATTAAAATAGTATATAAAACAATTAAACCAGGTTTACAGAACCTCAATTGAATATTTAATTGCGATTTAATTTTTAACCCCGCCTTAAAGTACCATGTGACCGACTCTACGCCAATCAGACGTCGCTAATGGCCTTGTTAAATGCGCGATCAACTTAATCGCAGTTAAAATATTGTATGAACTGGCCTTAAATTGTGTTATTCTTTATTTTTGTACTGAGTTACTAAAAAAAATTAAATGTTAATATTATCGAAACAAATTTAATACATTTTTTGGAAAACAAAGGAACTTTAGTTATTCCTGTTATTAAAATTGTAGGAACAACAGTTCCCACAAAATCAGGTGTTCAACCTGAGCGCATTCATAATAATTGTATAAATGTAAATACTTCCTATCTTTCATCTACCTGCCCTACGCTCCTACATACTTTCTCTTTTCCCTTCTAGAATTTTCTAAACTCCTTCTTTACCTACTTCCACCTCTTCGAAACCGCGCTTACCTGTGTACCATTTTAAACACCCTTCCTTCTTCTCCCTGGCACTCTCGAACAGTAAAGAACGAAATAAAATCTGAAAACCGTACCGTCGCTTTTAAATCACCAACAATACCCACAAAATAAAACAAATTTTTAAGGTAGTCAGAGAAATAGAAAAAAAAAACATACTGTCTGTCGCATTTATAAACCGGTTTTAGCAAAGCCGAACAGTCGGCCGACTAGTCGGCTTTTACTGGCCGAACAATCGGCTAGTCGGTTAGTCGGCCAGACCTACAGTCGGTACATCTCTACTGATAATATATTTTTTTCTCGTTGGTAAGTGTGGGAATATTATTTCGGCACTGTTTAGCATGTTTCTTTATCTCTACTTTAATAGTCCATGCATAACTTTATTTTATAGGGGTTCCCCTAAAAAATAAATGGATAATTTTTTTTTTTTCGAAGAAGCTGTATTCATTCAAACCTGGGCAAGTTCGTTGTTGTGAATGTTTTGTCAAAACATTTCAGTAAGACTGGAATAACCTGGCAGCGACACATCAAAATTATGTAAAAAAATAAAATTTAGTTTTAAAACCTACGAAAAAGATGCCAATTAGACCATGTAAAAATATACAGAATGTTTTGTTTAAAATATCTAAGCTGAATGTTACCCCTTAAAAACAACACTATATAATTGAGTTTTTTTTTTATTATTTTTAATAATATGTAGTTAATGAGATATCAAAAAGCGCTAACTTATTGACACCCTGTATATCTGTATGTAAAAGCTAAGTTTAGTGCCAGTTTATGTGGTATGCAAATATACCAGTACAAATTATACTCTTTTTTTTTTTTGGAACATCGTACTTTATTTGAGATTAAATATTCGTAGCTTGGTAAAGCTGCGCACAAAAGTCCAAAATTATGCAATAAATTCATTTACATCAAAACAACTTGTAGGTTTCATTTCAAATTACTTTTCGAATTTTCCGAATTTTCAATTTTTCGATATTCCGAATTTTAGATTTTTCCAGTTTTTAAATTTTCGATTTTCCAATTTTTCGAGTTTTAAATCTGTCGATTTTCCGAATTTTCGATTTTCGAATTTTCTGTTATGTATTTGATTTTTCGAATTTTCGATTATTCGATTTTTTATTTTCCATTTCAATTTTTTGATATTTCAATATTTTGAATTTCGCTTTCTCGATTTTTCAGTTTTTCGAATTTTCGATTTTTGAAATGTAATTATTTTTCGATTTTTCGAATTTTCTATTTTCCATTTCTATTTCTTGGTATTTCAATGTTTTGAATTTCGATATTTCGATTTTTAATTCCCCATTTTTCAGTTTTTCGAATTTTCGATTTTTGACATGTAATATTTTTCGATTTTTCCATTTGTATTTTTTTGGTATTTCACTGTTTTGAATTTGACATTTCGATTTTTGATTCTCGATTTTTCGAATTTTAGATCTTTCGAATTTTCGATTTTTGAAATGTAATTATTTTTCGATTTTTCCATTTTCTATTTCTATTTCTTGGTATTTCAATGTTTTGAACTTCGACATTTCGACGTTTGATTCTCAATTTTTCAGTTTTTCGAATTTTCGATTTTTGAATTGTAATATTTTTCGATTTTTCGAATTTTCTATTTTCCATTTCTATTTCTTGGTATTTCAATGTTTTGAATTTCGATATTTCGATTTTTAATTCTCCATTTTTCAATTTTTCGAATTTTTGATTTTTGAAATGTAATATTTTTCGATTTTTCGAATTTTCTATTTTCCATT